GTTTTGGTTGCTATCTTCTGGTGTCCCATTTGGATGAAACAGCAGAATGAACATTGGAATGTTGAAAGCAGATTCAAGCGGAAGATGGAGAATTCATATAGACTAGTGTTAAGAGCATAACGAGTGAATGCACGAGTGCCACCGTTTGCGACACCCAGCCATTTTACACAGTGTATCTAACCATCGGTGACCATCATCCCGAAGTCCCCAGCCAGGGAGCCTAAAGGGGCCTATGTGACCTAGTCTCCTGGTTAGGGTTTTCATACCATCATGCCAGGTCTTCGTTTGACAACCATAGACCTTTTTCCAACCGCTACCTGTCTCGGAAAACATCGCTCGCCGTGGCAACCTATTTGGTTGCATGCGTAACATGCCCCAACCAACGTAATCTACGGTCGTTCACTTGTTCCAGTGGACAACCGCGACCACCTTAAACTCTTCATATATTTACCACCGACTTGTAGATAAGCATGATGCCAAGGAGACAACAATAACCACAATAATAATGAAAGGGGACAGGTGGATTGGAGTACAGAACAGGGTGAAAAGGGGGTGAAACAGTTAAACACGGGAAAATGCAAGACATCTGGAATTTAAAAAATGTTTTCTGTTTCACCGTACACTTTTTGATATTTTTTGTTGTTGGTTGTTTTTCTTTTTACGGGGCATGGGATCTCGACAGGCAAACCGTACAGCATTCGCGCCACTGACATCTATTCTGGGCCATATCTCTCAGCGTCTCTAACCAACGACAATCCTCATCACTTGGGACCCAACCTGGAAGGCAGGCTGCACCAACCGAAGTCAAAGCTGAAGCTAGCTTCTTCATACCTCTACGCCAAGTCATAGTCTGACCGCCACGCCGCTTCTTTCAGCCTTGCCCGGCAAGTGCAAAGAGAGCACGGAAAGGCAGCCGATGGCCAGGCATACACAAAACGTGACCAAGCCATCGGAGGCGGCGTAGAGCGATTACTTCTGTTAGGGAACAACTATCCACGCCCAACACACGACGACGGACCTCGTCATTGCTCATCCGATGTTTCCAGCAAACACGAGCAATGCTACGGAGACATCGGTGGTCGAATACAGAAAGTCGATTAGCATCCTCAACGCGGAGGGGCCAGGTCTCGCAACCGTGAAGCAAAACACTACGAACCGCAGCGATGTACACCCTTCTCTCAAGGGACAGTCGGACGTCCTGGCGGCGCCACAGATGTCGCAAGTCGGCGAAAGCTGCTCTAGCTTTCGCGATTCGTGATGTGATCTCTTCTCCAACACCTCCACCAGCTGTGATCAAGCTCCTGAGGTACTTAAAGCTCTCGTACTTCTAGCTGATCACCACAGAGGGTGAGTGCAGGCACAGGCTCCTGCCAGTCTTGAACAAGCAATTTGCACTTGGAAGGTGCAAAGCACATATCATACCTGGATACCTCTATCACCAAGCGGTTCAAAGCGTTTTGGACTGCCTGTGCGTTGTCACCCAGCAAAGCGATGTCATCGGCATATTTTAAG